GGCTTTTATCTCAAAATTGGAAAAAGTGGATTTATCGGTTTTTGCATATGCTCCTCATATACTGTTTGTTTACATATCAATTAACATTGCGGTACAGAAAACCAATTAATTTTGTAAAAAAGAGCTTTATTTCTTAGAATTATTTTTGCTACATAACAAAACTGAAATGTTCTACATTTGCCACACTCCTTTATATTGAACAATTGTTTAAAGCTGATCTTACAATAATTATTTTATATTGTGAGCAGCAAGGTGGTCAAATTAGCACTGCTACATGAAGCAATACTGATGGTAATATTACCAAAACAAAATGAAAAATATAAAAATGGAGATCATTTAATTAACAAAACTGTTATGGAAATATATATTTACCTAAACTAATGTTAGCTTAAAATACAAACTTGGGAAAATGGGATACTTTTTTGTAACTTAAATATGACTATGAGATATGAGATTTTCCGATATATGCTATGAGAAATATCCATTCCACACAACATTGTGAAATAAAGTTTCACAGTGAAAGTATTATCTCTAAGCTGACACTTTTAATAGACACATTTTAAGTTCTTCATATTACTTGTTTGAAATATCTGACAAAATTTTATCCCAAATATCTGATTTTGTAGATTCTTTAGCCTCCTTAAGCCTATCATCTAGAGTTAATCTTATGCTATCTATTTCATGCAAATGTTTAATATGAGTTAAAATATCTGCATACTCTATTTCTGGATAAAAACAAATATTTGGGTCAGATTTCCAAAAGTTGCCTATTTGCTTCATCATGCTACCAACATATATAATGAAATTCAGAAAATTACTTAGAAATGTCTTAAAATTTTTACAAACAGTATATGTACATCTTTTGTCTATTTTTTTGAAGAGGGTAAGCCAAAACTGTTTGCCCAGTATGCTACGATCAAGCATTTTATTTGTAATATCATTGAGAATAATAGATTGCACCAGTTTCTCTGTTTCAGATAGTTCCTCAAGAGAAAGGATACCTATTAAAATATATAAGAATGTTTCTACATTATAGGGCATAAGCATATCTTTGATTTGTTCTTTCAAAGTAGTCTCTTCTCCCAATTGTAACAACATATCCCAGTATCTTAATTTTTGATGAAATTCTAAACATTTTGCATTGCCATCATTCATAGTGGAATTTAAATAGTCAGTAACTGCTTCTAAATTTCCTGCATCTATTATTATTCTCTCTAAAAGTGATTCAAAGCGAGTTTTTGGAAATAACGATGTATAAATTCTAACTGATATATCTAAAGTATTGTGTGAAATATTTGAGCACCTAAAAAAACTAATTAACAATTCATCACACGCAAAACTATATACACTATCACAGTAAACTTTTGTTCTATTCTTAGTTTTCCACCAAGATATTAATGTAGCAGAAAAATTATTCCACAAATCATTTGATTTGAAATGATTTGTAGTTTTTTCTATGTAATTTCCCAACTTAAAAGCTGTTTTGACATCTTCAATTTTAGCTGTAGGAAACCACTCACTATCCTCTAAGATTTTAACAAATGAATCAAATGATGTAAGAATTTGTGTAATTTGAGCTTTTGAGTTTTCACTCATGTTTCTTTTGGTAGTTTCTGTCAAAGGATAGAACCAGGTCTTCTTACCTGTTAACAAATATAAACAGATTATTTAAAATGATTTAAGCTACTGACAGTAACTACCAAAAGAATAGATTAAAAGTAAATATAACTTACACTTTAAAAGGAAGTTTTGGATCTGATGTTAAAGTTATTTTAAACGTCACTTTTGATCTGAAATAAAAATAATAAAGTAAAACATATTGTCTCTTTGAATGTAAAACAATTATTTTCTCTCATATTCACTTAAACGAATTATACAATCAGTACATAACTTACGCCATATTTTATTAATAATTATACACGAAAACTACAGTTTTAAAGTTTTTCAGAACTCAATTTAAACTTAAAATATGTTTCCTAGTTGAAAAATATGAAATAAGTTTTTCTTGTTGACATTGACATGCGTGGAAGATAAAATGACGTGTTTGACGTTCAATGTCGCCACCTTAACTAAATTGACGAATATTATATTTAGCCCATTGCCTTGACAAATTAATAAAACATAATATAGAAATTAATTATTTTTTATATTATTTTACATTTAGAAAGCATAAATAAAAACCCAAACATTTATATAAGTCCCAAAATATGTCGACTAAAATTATTGTAAAATTAAGAGCATGTAAAAAACAATCACTGCGAATTATGTGTTGGGAACTTGATTAAAACGATAATTAAATATTGGAGATTGCAACAAACTATTGCTCAATGTTTTAATGAAATTGGTCTATAAATTATAGATTTCAGATTATTTGACGTTAATGTAATAACCTCGTAGGCACCTCGTTTCCATACCGACCTCACAGATCTTTTGCGTTGTACAGCCTATATTATGTTTTAATCCAGAAGATGTAGACTTCTAAGATGCTTCTAAGGAAGCCTGTTATCCGTTTCTATCATCGAGTAGATTCTAACTCGATGGTTTCTATATTAGTTCTACAAGCTAATTTTATAGATGTCGACGTCATTTGCGAGTAATTACTTTTAGTAGGTGTCAACAGTTTCGACCATTTCCCTTTTTTACCTTATTTTCGCAGATTCTTCGTCATGCTTGTAAACTTAATAGTACTTACTTAATGCTTATATTTTATTACAGATTGTTCCCTTGCGTGGACCCTGTACTTTCTAAATCACATATTGTGGGACATAACATGGAAAAAAAAACAAGGAGATGGGCTGGAACCGTAATAAGACAGCTAAATATATGAAGAGGTAATCTCCTAACAAATAAATCAATACATATTGATTCCAATGCCGATAATATTAGCATTATATCTCGTAGAACAGAAAAGGCGGCAGAAATATATTCACTATTAAAAACAGGGACAGAAGACACCGGACTAGAAATAAATATTCAAAAGACAAAAAAACTAATATAGGCTCGAGCTAGGGGAAACAGACATAAGGAGGACAACATAACAGACGTGAGGAATAATTCGCTCACAGTAACTTAAATACTTCTTCTATCGAAGATAGTCAATAATTATAGTAATTTTTTTTCTTTTGAGTCGGCAGCAAGTCTTTAGAGGCCAAGTATATCGAATATTAATAAGTCCTTAAGCGAAGAAGACAGCCTCCATTCGGGTCTGAAACCTACCCTTAAGCTTACTCTTTATTATAACTGAAAGAAGTCGTATCTATCATATCTCATTAAATAACATTGTGTACCAGTCTTCTAGCCGTCTGGTTCTTTCCTTATATATTCTTCTTACTGCCCATTCATTAAGCTTTACTGCTCTACTTTCTCACGATAGGAGTTGTGGAATGTTGGATACATCAGCTCAATATTCAAGAAAGGGGATAATCACAAATGATCTAATTATAGGGGAAAAACTGTTATCAGCTCAGTGTGGAGGTTGTACGGTCGAATAATAAAAGAAAGAATAGAATAAGAATACGAAGGCATAGAAGAACAAAATGGATTTCGTGCAGGAAGATCGTACACTGATAGTATATTCGTTCTGCAGCAGGTAATCGAAAAGCGGAAGGCAAGGAATCTATCTACCCACATATTATTTGTAGATTTAGAGGAGGCACACGATACTGTAACTTTGAAACAACTGTTTCAAACATTGACGAAAGTAGGTCTCAGTAGAGAGTATGTGGATGCCATGGCAAATATAAACAAAAATGCAGGAAGTGTCGTTAAAGAAGGAAATTTTATCTCTGAATCATTTCCAATAACAGAGAGGCTTAAACAAGGATGTTGTCTATCATCGACCTTATTTAAAATATATGTATATTCAATCATCGCTAGATCAGTGGAGGAAACAAGTATCCTGAATGTGAATAGAGATAGGCGGTGGTAAATGTCTAACAACTTTATTTTTCGTAGATGATCAGGTAGTCGCAGCGAATGATGCGGAAGACATGGACTACATGTTTAAAAAACTAAAGAAAAAATATGAAAAATGGGGCCTCAATATGAAAAATATGTCAATGACAAAGTATCTTATAATAGAAGATTATGAAGAAGATCCTGAGTTGGAAATTAGAAACACAAAAACATGCAATGAATATAAATATCTCGGATCTATAACATATAAAGAAGGTACTACCAAAAGAAACATCGAAAACAGAACGCAGCAGAGAAAATAAGCGGTAAACATTCTAAACTCTCTACTATGGTCTAAATATATTAGACAAATAACGAAAATGACAATCTATCGAACCTTGGTAGTGACTATTATGACTTATGTGGCAGAAGTTTAGGAGATAAACGAAAAATATAGAAAAAGAATAGAAATAGTAGAAATGAATTTTCTAAGAAGAGCGTGTGATGTATCCAAAAAAGATGATATCAGGAATGAAGATACAGGGGACAAATACTGCATATTCCAGTGTAGACAGAATTGAAACGAGACAACTAGTGTGGTTTGGGCACGTGAAGCGAATGAATGAAGATATATGGCCAAAGAAAGTTTTACCACAACAAAGAAGAAGAAGGGGAAGGCCTTCAGTTGCCTGGGAAGAAAATGTAGGGTACATAATGAGAGATAGAGCCATCAAAGAAGCCGAATGGATGGACAGTTGTCCATCCATTCGCCTGCTTACGTCAAATCTCTAAATAGATAAGTCCACAAAAAAAATTATAAATCCCTAGAGAAGTCTTTTTGTAATATCTCATACTACACATTTCAGCTGTCAAATCCGTCTATACAATTGTGTCGAGTAAAAAAATCAACTTAATTGGCTGAAAAGGAATTGTTTATCTGATTACATAGGATCTTAATGTTTTACAGTGTACGTTGTCTTGTTACTTTTTAGTATTGAAATGGAATCTTCTATCTGTGATCTAAGGATATATGGTACTGTTTCTCCTTTTCCCACAGCAAATGCAAACAGAGTATATATTTTATAAACACAATAAAACTACATTTATAACACAAAATATTTTATTTACAATATTATACAAGGTTGAGTTTATACAAGTTATCATTATACTTGGGTTTTTTATTTTAAAATATTATACAAATTATATGTTATATTAATATGTAATTCCTGCAATGTGACAATAAATATATGGACTAAGGCGGTCTGATAAGTTCTTATCCTAGTTCAGAGGTTGCAACATTAGTCGCATAATTTTTCTCGACGCATTGGTACACGCGTTAGTGGAGACGATGTAAAATTAAAGTCATTCCAGGCAGCAGTTGATTGGAGGCAGACGTTGAGTAACATGTCGCCAGAAATCGAACAGAATGACGAAGAAACTTGGAGCCTGCCAAGATCCACAGAGGATTGTCGAGCAAAAGATGATGATGAAGCTTGGCGCAAGAATAACGCAACTGTCGATAAAAACGCATTCAAATGACACTTATCTGAAGAAAAGCAAACAGATATAAAGGCGACAATGGATGAAATTTGGATTTACTACTTCACACTCCAAACCAAACAAAAACCAGTACCGGAATCTTAGTTGCAAATATCACGATAATGGTGCAATCGGCAAGAAAGCTTGAAAAAATTTGAACTCTAACTTCTAATGAACGGAAATTGAGTTATCTGCACCACTAGTGAAGTAACATCCACTATATTCTCTCCTATTTTCATCTAATCCCAAAACTTGGAAACATTGCTTTTCATCCAATAAGAATTGGCCTTTGCTGCTGTATATCAGTGCTATGCAGCATTCTGAAAGAACACTATATAGAGGGGATAACAGTATTGAAATTCTGATGGATGGAATGTATTGATATAAGATTATACTGTGATAAAAAATAAAATTTCTCTGAAAGGTCACTCCGAGGTCAAGAACTTTTCAGACTAAAAACGAGACAACAAATATGAACATTATTATCAATCAGGTACAAGTGTCGATTAGGTACCCAGTATATTTATAAATGTTATGAGTTTATTTAAGGCATCAATATGATCCATTCTAAAATATACAATGTGAATATAGAAAAATCTTAGAATATAGAAATAAATAATATTTATAGGTAATCTTAAACATAAGGTATTAAATAAAATTTTATGTAGACTAGCAATAGACTAGTAGTATTTTTCAGATCACTTAGATTTCTCTATCGTGGTTCTTAATACAGGTATTATGATATCCTTTTGATTAGCATCACTTTATTTTCCAGCAATATTGGTTTGTGACTTAAAAAACAATCCAAAATAGTTTAATGCAGTTAAGAACAATCAGAACATCAACTATTAGTGGATGCTAAAAAAAAGAAATTGAGTTAAATCCCAAAAGAATCATTTTTAATAAACTATAAAGCATTATATTTAAAGCACTATTATGATAATTTATAGAAGACCCAACAGATTACGTGATGGACCATTAGTTGGGCGAAGTTTCTCTAAAATTTTAATTCTAATCGTAAGTAAAATTTATGACGTGCGCATTTGTTTATTTTGAAACAATTTTATTTTATGGCATCTTTGAAGAATATAAAAAACATAAGGAGGTGGCAAAATGTGAGAATTTTTGTGTACGATGTAAAATTTTTTCTACGGTGTACAGATTCTTGATAAATCGATTTTTTTGCATTTTTACCCCCCTGTAGCGGGGGTTTTAGGGGAAGCCCGGGTTTAAAAGTAATAATCTTTTTTGCATCTTTTCTAGGGTTCCAAAATTAATATTCCCTGCAAAATTCAGCTTGTTCGTATGATTTTTAGGGACAAACTTCCTGACGACTGTACTATAAGACTACAGCCTTAAATATCTATGGAAAATTGTTCTTTAAATTTTTAAGCAGATTTTAAGGGTTAAAAAAGAAAAATACAATTTTTATTGAGCTATAAATAGGAAATGGGTTAAATGAAATTATGACAAAATTAACTTACATGATACTTACTTTTTGTTTTATATCTAATACTCTTATTCTTTAATTGAGACTTGTTTACAATATTCTTTTTCATTTTTTTTGCACGAAGCATTTCCATCAAACTTTCTCCATCATTTACATCATCTTCGATATCCTTCAAAAATTGCATAACACTGTTATTTGGTTTGTGAAGATCTGCGTAACGAATTTGATGGTTTGGTATTCTCTTTTTCTTTTTAAATTTCTCTTTGACACCACTCGATTCTGCATAATTTCTACTTTTTGATTTATCGGCATTAATAGAGTTTCTGAGCTTAGACTTTGAGCTTATGTCCTTGGAGACATCGTTTACTGTAAAAAGTGTTATAATTTCAGTAAGGATTAAAAAAAATGCAAGCAAATGTCACAAAAGAATTCGGTAAGGTGTCAGAGCCACAAATCACCTACCTCTAGCTATAGTAAAATTCATTAAGAGGTGCAGGAAAATATAAACATTAAATCGTGTCCGAACCGGTATGAACCGCCGATAACATCGCCAGACGAAATAAAGATGGACATTCCGGTTAGTTTTTAAATATTTTTGAAGAACTGTTACTTGCATTTATGCATAAAATATTCATTAATTTTATAAATCGGAGTATTTTTTCACTTACTTTGTATTCAGTGATAACATTAATTTATTTACTATGCAATAAACACGAATATTTGAGAAAAGAAAAAAAATAATAAAGTGTCATAATTATACTGTTACTCATTTGGAACATCTTTAACAATTATCTGTTAAATTTATCGTTGTTTATATGCCCTGCACCGCTTAATGGAATCAAGGTATAGATGCTTTACGACAATACTTTAGTTTAGATATGAAATTCAGCGCCCCAAGAGATTTGTTTCGGAACTAATTCAAGCCGGAAATTACGCGGAAATTTCAAAATTTAATTTTGGTGGAAAAATTTAAATAAGGCTTAAAATATTTAAATATAATTTGATATATTTGAAAAAAAAATTGCATTTGAAATTTTAAATGTGCAAATTATTTTTAAATTCAAATATACAACAATAAAGTACCATTTACCAAAAAATTAGACAAAGAATTTATTTATTTATTTAATATCTGTAAAATAACTTTTTACATAGATTTGTAATACAATAGAAATATGCTTTATTACCACTAAAACTTGTACAAAATAACAACAATTTAAAATTGACTGAAATTACATAAATCGTTAATATCGCAAAATAAAAGATAATAAAATACACAATATATTGCAAAATTTAAATAAATTGCAAATTACATAGTTTAAGTTGCTGCATGTGATACTCAAATATATATTTATGCAAATAATTTAGTTACTTGTGCATAAAGCTATTCGTTCAGAAACTCTTCTACTGAATAATATGGTCTTTCAGATATATAGGTTTTTGTCCTTTTACGGAACATAAGGAAATAAGTTGCAGATTTAAGTTGTAAAGGGCGATGATTGTATAATTTTTTTGTTAAATATACTATAGGTTTCTATACATAACTTCATAAAGCTTGAATTTCTGGTGGATTAGTCATGACTATGTCGTGCTGAAAAAAAACATGTAGGTTTTTACAAATTACGAAACATCATCATCATCACGTAGCGCTACAACCCTGATTGGGTCTTCGCTGACTATACAACTTTGTTCCAATTTGTTCGGTCTTCCATCAACCTAGGGTCAAATGGAATGTTCATTTTCCGGAGATCTGATTGGATGTTATCTCTCCATCGCATTGTGGGACGTCCCAGTGGTCTTTTACCTGTGAAAAATCTCCTCCCTTACCAGTTTTACAAGTTTCTCGTTATGTAGTCTGTGCACGTGGCCTGCCCATCTTAGTCACTGTGATTTAATTTCTTGAACAATATCAGCGTCATTGTAGAGTGCTTTCAATTCGATATTGGTTCTGATCTTATACCGGTTTGTGGTGATGTCATGGTGAGGTCCGAAAATTTTTTTAAGTATTTTTCGTTCAAAGCGTCTGAGCTTTTCTTCGTTTGCTTTGGTCATGGTCCACGTTTCGCATCTGTATGTTATTATAGGTCTGACGATAGATTTATAGATTTTGATCTTTGAACTTCTTGTAAGATTTTTAGATTTTATGAGCTTATCCGGTCCGAATAGATAGCGGTTTGCAGATTGGATTCTATCTTTTATTTCTTCAGTAACATCGTTGTCAGCTGTGATTACGGCCAACAGATACTTAAAATGTTGTACTTTTTCGAAATTGAAGGTGTTGACCGTCACATTTTGCCCTATTCTGTCTCTTCGTGTCGTTCTATTTATACACATATATTTCTTCTTCTCTTGATTAATCTTCATCCCTACTTCACTTGTTGCTCCTTCCACCTTGTTGAAGATATCTTTCGTGGATAGGATGGAGTCTCCAACGAAATCTATGTGATCTGCATATGCGAGTAATAGCTTGGGACCTTGAACCGACAGCAATTCTGTTGGGTTTAGGTCTGACAAGTCTATTTCGGCCGACCTCATGGCTTTCTCTTAATACAAGGTTAAAAAATAGTAGAGATAACGCATCACTTTGTTTGAGTCCACTGTTGATTTCAAAGCTGCCAGACAGTTTATTATTTACACGTACTTTAGATAGTCCACCCTCCATACAGACTTTGGTCATCCGAATGAGTTTCTTTGGTATTGAGAACTCCGCCATGGCATTCCATACTTGGCTTCTTTCTACGTTATCATATGCCTGTCGAAAGTCTATGAAAAGATTGTGTATGGGTCTGTTATACTCCCACCCATTTTCTAGAAGTTGTCTCAGTGTAAATAGTTGATCTATTGTTGATCTGTTTGCCCTAAAACGGGCTTGACATTCGCCTAGGAGACATTCAGCGTAAGAGATTAGTCTACTAAGAATGATGTTTGAGAGGATTTTATATGCCGTGTTTAGAATCGAAATTCCTCTATAATTCGCGCATTTTGTGTTGTCCCCTTTTTTGTGGATGGGCACTATTATGTTTTCCTTCCATCGTGTTGATATCCTTTTGAGGAAGCTTTGTAACTGGCTACCTACATCGTGAGAGTTGGAAATCTTTTGATTCCAAGCCTTACTTCAAAGGACTTGTGAATGGATGCATCTCCATAGGTGTGGATCTTTAGTGACCGTTGAAAGATAAGGATTCTTAATTTGAGCAATTATAGCTCCAAAGAAATAAAAGCACCTTTGAGTTTATTGATTTATAATTAAATTCCTTAAGAGTAGAAGCCCAACACGGCCGTAACTTACTGTACAATATCAAATGTACTCTTTCTTTATAACACGTAAAACAAACCGTTATGAGAAATAAACATGAGAAAATGCCCGATTTCGGCGGAGAGAAAATATCTAAATACGTGAATTGTGAAATTCTTAACTGCCCGCTGTGAGTGGTGCCTGCCAGAGGCCATGTGTCGAACTCGGACTAGGCTGTCTGAGCTGATACTGAACTAATAAAAACTACATAATGCGTAAAATGGGAATAGTGCTTAGGTGTGAAAAATATTTAACAGATGTTAGACGCCAATCCGTCGCAGATAAAGTGACTTCTAGTTATTCTACACTAAGAAAAGTTAAAGAATTATATTTTTATTTTATATTTTAAAATATGTTCATTTCTAGAACACCTTTCTTCTAACCATATGTGCGTTAGTAGCTGGTGGATTTAGCGATGTAGTGCGTCTCCCCCATATTTTAGAAGTTCTGCTGGTACCTCGTCCGTACCCGGCGCTTTGTGATTTTTCAGCTTATTTAAGGCCTTTTTTGTTTCTTCAAAGGAGGGATTTTTGACGGGCTTGTCCGCGGTGATATAGATCTCTTCTTTGTGCTGTTCTTCCTGTATGATGTTTAGAAGGTCCCTAGAATACTCTTTCCATTCTTCAGTTACTGCTTTACCATCGATTATCATATGGCCTTGATTATCTCTCAGCGTATGGATGGAATTGGTTCTATCTTCTCTTTTATCAGAGGAACTTGCTTTATAGAATTCTCTGGAGCCTGGTTTGGGCCGTTCTCTCTCCATAGCTTCATATTTTTGTTGTTCATAGTTTTTTTTCTTTACGCGCATTATTTTTCTTGTTTCTTTTCGGCAGTCGTCATATTCCTCTTTACTTTGGTCTGTTTGCACTTGTATCCAAGTCTTCCTTACTGTTTGCCTTACATTACTCTTCTGCCTACTTCTTCCAAAGATCTTCTCCGCTGTCTTGGTTATTATTTCGGCAGTGGTTTCCCATAGCTGTTGAATATCATTGTATTCTCTTTTACAGTTCAAGGTTTGTTCAAGTTGTTCTCTATAGTTTTGTTGTTTCTCTGTATTGTGCATTTCGTCCATGTTCCTTTGTGGGTTTATTGTTGTTTTATTGTATTTGTGGCTAGATATTCTGGATTTGACTTTTGCTCTGACTAAGTAATGATCTGTGTCTCCGTCTATTCCTCTCGGGCATCTTACGTCTATAATATTGTTCCCATGACGGGCATCTACAATGATGTGGTCAATTTGGTTGCGCGTAATATGGTCGTTTGAGACCCAGGTTTGCTTATGGATGTCTTTATGCGGAAAAATGGTTGACTTTGTTAGCATATTATTAGCGGCTGCAGTTTCTGTGAGTCTTAAGCCATTGTCGTTGGATATATTGTGTAGGCCGTGTTTACGTATTATGGGGTATAGGCTAGGCTCTTTGCCTATCTTAGCATTAAAGTCCCCGCAGAGTATGCGCATATCTTGTTTGGGCATTGTATCTATCTCTGTTTCTAGGGCATCGTAGAAGTCATCCTTGATATCTTCATCCTTCTCTTCCCTTGGTGCATGCGCTGAGATAATCGAAATGTTGTATCGTTCTCGCTTCATTCGTATGTAGCATATCCTTTCGTTTATAGGTTTAAAATTTAGTATATTCTGTTCTAGTCTGTCTCTAATCACAAAGCCCGTTCCAAATTCATGTCTTCCGTTTTTGTTACCGCTGAAGAAGATGGTGGATTTCTTATTTTTATATTTCCATTGTCTGGCCAACTTATTTCTTGGACTGCTGTTATATCCATTCCTATGCTTTCCAGTTGTTCCACAGCATTTATAGCAGCTCCAAGTCTGTACCAACTCTGGAAATTACGAAACACTTTCTAAAATATATAAAGAGGGAAGAGTTAAAATCTCGTGATTTTTAAAGTAGCTTGTGCCATATGTTATTCTACTGAGGCCAAAAAGATACTGTATTGCTCTTTTTTGAAATTTAAAAACAACATCAGATTGGGCAGCTGTTCTAGAACTCCAAAAAAGAAGAGTATATCAAAGATGAGACTCGAAAAAAGAAAAATATGATATTTTGAAAATGCTAAATTGATTTCTTTCGAAACCGATCTTATTTCATAGCAGGATGCGGCTTTTAAGAAATTAGAAATGACTCCCACTATGTTTTTAATTTGAGGGGTTTTAGCACCACCTCTGATGCAGAATTGGTATGAAATAGGTGATTTCCACGGTTTTCTTAGACCTCTTATCATTCCTTCCATTCTTGATATTGTTGCTTTTAGTGACTCAAATATTAACTTATTAATTCCTGGGCCCCCAATAGTATGAGCCAGAAGTCTGTTTAATGATGATATGAATGGAAAGAATACGAGCACTTTGTTTTATAAAGACAAAGCTAAACGTTTCCCATTATAAGAGTAGATCGTCGTATCTTTTTTGCTTTACAGCTCTCACTGAGCCTGTAGCTACCATTAGACTAGCTGCCATTCTATGAATGTTCTGAGGATCAACCAATTCATTTTCTTTATAAAACTCTTTAGCTTCAAACAGTCTGCGTTTAAAAGGCTTTTTACTATTTCTTTCCAAAGAATATTTATGGTGTAGTTGTTAAATTGCTCCACATATTTTTTTCTTTTTAGGGGTAATTGTACTTCTTGATTTCTTACACTACAATATTTTCAGAGCTGTGATATTCTTAAGGGAAACACTTAAAAGTAAATGTGATGTTAATTTCTTTATTCAATCCTTACAACGCAAAATCTATTCATTATATTAACCTTCGTGTAGTGGCATCATTAGAGGCCTTCAAGATGTGAATTTATCGACGAGTATTGCGGATAAGTTGGGTTGACCGAATAAGAAATGAAATAGTTTTACATCGAATGAAAAAGAGCAGAGAAATAACAAAAACGATAAAAATTAGAAAGTTACAATATTTCGGTCATGTAATGAGACATCCAGAGAGGTATAACCTTCTACACCTCATAATACAGGGTAAGATCGCCGGAAGGAGATGCCCAGGCCGACGAAGAACATCCTGGCTCCGAAATCTTCGAGAATGGTATCAAGAGATCACCGCTAATTTATTTAGAGCCGCCGTAAACAAAGTTATTATTGCCAATATGATTGCCAACGTTCGATAATCGGACAGGGTACTGAAAGAAGAAGAAGAAGTGGCATTAGTGCGTGAGAGACTTAGTAGACCGTTTTTTGATGTGAGTATTAAACAATTAGGTAAAGAAATAATAATAAGACTTACTCACAATCAATTTAATTTAACAATCTGACGACCGGTTTCGCTTTCTATAATTTGCAAAGCATCTTCAGGTCGAGATACAAAGTAAACTAAGTACTAGAATGTTTCACTACCTTCATACATCTTTGTTAGATTTTAGCAATGAGAGATTATGAACACAGGCAAGCTCCTATTTCTAGTTCTTAGCCCCAGCTGGTCTATGACACAGGGGCATATTGAATTACTTTGAACTAAAACAAAAAGTTAATATAATAATTTATACCAGGATTCACAAAATAATTTTTATTAATTACATATCAGGGTTACTTACTTTATGTTACATTTGCTTCTGCACACATTGAAATACTTCTAGGATATACATTAGAAGAGGAATCTAAAATCAAATTAGTTATTTGTTCTCGGGAATTTTTATCTCTGTGGCATATTCGTTTTGTTTTAAAAACAGTAGTGGTATTGTGGAATTCATCATATCTAAATTAGAATTTTTTATAACACTAAGTCAATTGCTAAATCGTACAATATCTTTATCAGCATTTGGAAAGGCATGTCTAATTTATCATTTATTGTGAAAAACCATATTTACCTAATTATTATTAATATGCAAAATACTATTTGAACGCCAGGAACATTTAAAACACAGTCCACTGAGGTAGGTGATTTGCAATTTAGAAACAGATTTGAGGTTAATGCTAACAAAAACCTAGAGATATTAAACCACGATAACCAGATAGTGGAGATGTATGATGAGTGATGATAGTGGTGAAAAGGAGAAAATTGATATATGGGAAAATTATATTTAATTTTTAATTTAATTAATGGCAATATTAAATTCAAAAACAATAAGACACCTGGACCAGAAGAAATCCCGTCAGAAATACTCAAATTAACTAGATGAAAGGGGAATTTTCAGCACTACACAAAATATTTAATTTAATTTATGAAACTGGCTACTATCCTCAACAGTGGTTACGCTCTAACCTTTATTCCCCTGCCCAATGAAAGTCAATGCAAAAAGATGTGAGAAACACAGACTCATTAGCCTGATGAATAGGCATTCTCAAGAAGTTGATATAGACCAAAAAGGCATAAGATGCATTGAAAACTTGTACTGGCATCAAACGGCACAGTTTAAAAATAGACAATTCTATATCCAAACCCATACATATAAGAAGAGGCGTTCGACAGGGATGTGTGCTTTCCCCTCTTTTATTTAACCATTTATTCGGAAGCCATATTTCAAGAGTCTTTGGAGGATGCAGAGATGGGAATCAAGGTGAATGGAGTATTGATCAACAACATACGATATGCTGATGATGGTGTCTTAATTTGTGACAACATAGTCGATCTTCAACAACTTGTCACTATAATCGGAGAATACAGTAAGCGAATGGGATTAGAGATTAATACCAAAAAGACCAAATTTATGATCATCTCCAGAAACTTAGATGCACTTGAAAACTCCACCATAACACTGAATACTAAGTCCATTGAAAGAGTGAGTAAATTTAAATACCTGGGATCGTGGCTTTTTGAAGACTGGGCATCGGACAGGGAAGTAAAATGTCGCATTGAGCAAGCTCGACAAGCTTTCGTAAAATTCAAGAAAGTACTGACTTGTTCAGAGTTTGATCTTCAACTGAGACTAAGGTTTACTAAGTGCTACGTATGGTCAGTGCTGCTATATGGCGTAGAGGGCTGGACACTCAAAACGAGGGATATAAACAGATTAGAAGCTTTCGAAATGTGGCTTTATCGCCGTATCCTAAAAATACCATGGACAGCGAAAATCACAAATATAGATGTCCTTAAAAGAATAAACCAAGAACGCCAACTTTTCGAAACCATCAAGAAAAGGAAAACGGCGTATCTAGGTCACATCATGCGAAATGAAAAATACCAGTTCCTCCAACTTATAATCGAGGGTAAAATTGAAGGCAAGAGAGGAATGGGACGCAAGAAAATGTCCTGGCTCCGAAACATAAGGCAATGGACAGGGATTAACGACATACAATCTCTGATACATATTGCAAGAAATAGAGAATTAATGGAAAATGTGATCGCTAACATCCATTAGTGGATTTGCATCTGAGAAGAAGAAGAATTAAACCACGATTAGTATGATTTCTTTGCAATTTACATAATAACCATCAAATCAAACAATAATTAGAGAGGCGAATAAATAATGCTAATCATTATTGACAATTATATTTTTAGTTTTGTTCTAAACCTAAACTTGCAGAGTATAGCGAATATCAAAAGATATTGTATCGGTATTCGTGTACTACAAATGACATTTAGTTTAGTTTGACCTTGAGCTACCTGCGTGAAACGTCTAGTCTGTGGTCAGAGCGAATATGAAAAATATATGAAAATAAAGTACTGCAATACAGTAAAAACTGCAAATTTGGCAATTTATTTTGTCGATTTGACATATGATTCAGTATTGTTAATAATTGGATGAAATTTGTGGCTTTTAAATTTTGACAATCGTTGCGAATCGAATCTTTTATTGACATTATATTCTTTTAATCTTTTACTTCTCAATTATGTTGTATCGGTTTATCATGACACTACCTTTAAAATACTACTTACCACACGTTTTAGAAAGAATTTCCTTGAAGAAACTTCTGTCATCATCTGGCCAACCAAAAATTTTGTGCAACGATCTGTTCAACATACTTCTGTCATCTTCGTTTACCTTAGCGAATCGTTCGTGTCTTCGTTTTTTGTGTAACGTATTAAACGGTGAACGATCATTGGTTTTCTTTTTGGTCTTTTCCCTTCTAGAAGACCTTAGCAGATGCTCTTCAGCATGTCGTTTAGTAAGGGAATTTGATGGTTCACGATCTTCTCTGACGGAATTTGTTGGAGTATGTTCTATGCTACTAGTATTTGATTTCTGAAGATTTACTTTATCTAAATCTAAATTGTCATCTTCTTCGATAGAGCTCTTGGATTGGGATAGTTCTTTGGTCTTCTCTGGGGTTGAATGTTTTTGTTTTTCGATTATATTCGATCTACGTAAATCTAAAAAAATATGTGCAATTTAAAACTTAAGTCGTACAAAATACATCAATAGGGTAAATTTTTTTTGTATAAATTTGTTACCATAATTGTGCAAATAGCGTTACATTTATTAATCACGGCCAATTAAAAAAATAAATATTAACACCACAAATTAAAATATATTGACATTACAAAGTAAATATGTTGATAAGGGAGAATGGTGGACCAGGCACTCCGCCACAGTAAAGGGGTCAATTTTACTAGGAGTTAAGAAACTTTTCTTTAAACGTTCTATAGTATGATTCCCGTTAAATGATGGTAGACTATTGTAAAATTAACACACGTATACAAAGGACTTATCTCTGTTAGAGACAATCTGTGAAGTAAGAAATTTAAATTAAGACTTCTTGTATCATATTTGGATGGTGTTCTGTAATAATAGTCTAAGCCACATATACATGGTTCAGAGTAAATGAGCATATTGTGTCTACCTACTTTAAGAAATTCACTGATAGAAAATAAGGCTTTATCTTCACATTTTTATATTTCAATAATTACAGGCTATCTAAAAAACGTACAAAAGCAAAATAAGTAAAATCAGGTTATTGCAAAAATATCTTAAAGCGGCTTAGACGGTTTTTTTGCAAAATTGTAAAAATATAAATGGTCATTTTACATTAATCGTCTATACCTCCGAAATGGTAAATACGCAAAAAAATTGAATTCGAGTTCATTAGTAAAAACAAGTAACTGTTACTGATTAAATTCTACTCGATTTAATCTTGATCAATCTAGAAATCAGGATTTAACCCAATTCCTTCCAAATCATACCTATAATTTCAAGCCCTTTGGTATTAGGTTGTTGTCTTTACATCTTCGTAAAAATTTAATTGAATTTTGACAATGTGCCAGTTTCTTGTATAGAATTTCCAGTCTCCGAAAATTTTGAATAACGCTGGGCCCATAACGACATACCTATAATATTCCTATCATACTCCTACAATATTTTGATGACCAGAATTGTGACTATCAAACAACAGTTCCAATATTTTATATAATGAACAACTGGTTTCGTTATTTGACAAATGCAATTTTTTGTCGGCATTTATGGCACCAACATTCGAGTAATCGCAAAACATATTATGTTACCTTTTCGGCACACTATCTGCGACTAAAGGAATTTAAAAATTTCTTTAATCAATTGCCGAGCTAACAACACAGAAAATTCACAGTTTTAAATACAGTGGAACCTCGATTATCCGCAGGGCAACCGACCAAGGGTATGACGAGATAATCGAAAAGACGGTTAACAGAACATTAAAAAAAAATCATAGTATAACTCTCAAATTTTATTTGTATGTTTTATTTTGACAATTTAAGAGGAATTTATATTAGTACAGTCAAATCAATTTGATTTAAAATATTCCGAAATCTTTGTTTGTTTTATTGTTACTTCACATTTTGCAATGGCTGAAATTTCTTAATCGATAAAAAATCATCAAATCTACCTTATTTGCTTCTTCTTGCAGAAAATACCACTCGATGAATTATTGTATGTGCGATGCATCTTCTCTAGCTTCTTTACACAAATCTGCGTCGGAGAGAGAATGGTCCGATTGCCGACAAGAATGTAGAGCGTTGGAATAATTTTAATAATTTTAAACTGTTTGTCCTTTTGTTAATGTAGTGTTATGTACAATTATGTCCATTTTAATGTGTATTAACCTTCTACGCTTGCTGGATAGCCCAAATTTGACGAAATGCCCCTGATTATGCTGTAGATAGGCAAGATTTGATTAAACTTGTGCTCGATATTTGCCTTAATTTTCAAAGTACATAAACAATTATCGAATTTGGATCAAACTGAATTATGGTGACACACGAATATTGACTGTAATAATTATTGTGCTGTGTGTTTTTATTTTCCGGCTTGCAATTATAAAAATAGAACTCTAAAAGCACGGTATGATTTATCATCACTTATTTAAATTAAAATTTATTCAAGAGCCCTCAAAATTATTTACGTAAAAAATGTGGTGGTGGCATAACTGCACCTGACCCTGGACGGTTAACAGAGGTGACGGTTAATAGAGAGACGGATAATCGAGGTTCTAACTGTAATATACTTTCGTATTTTACCATTAAAGATAAAGCCTCTAGTTTGGTGCAATTTTATTTATTTAAATAAAATTGTAATATTAGTGTAATAATAAATTTCTCGTCTAATAATAAGTCAAAATAAATATTTGTTTATTAATTTAATATTTTGCATCTGGTGCACACAATGAAAAGACCCTTACAAAGATTTGCAACAAGCGTCTAACCCACATATTTATAATGAAAACATGGGTTTGACTATTTTTACAAATTTCTGTTTTCATATTATTTGACGAATGTGGTTTAGAACTTAGTTCACAAACGCCTCCATGTGTATGGATATGGTTCAAATCATTTTTGCTTGATGTAGTATGCATTATGATCGACAGTTTGACACGTCTAACCTCATTTGTAAACAAATGTGGGTTAGACGGTTGTTGCAAAACACCGTCCATTATGATTTGGAAGCAGATGATAAAACAAAGTAAATTTTTTAAAGAAGTACATAATACATTTAAATATATAGATGGCTGAGAAATTGAGTACTTATATTAAGTGATCTGAATCGGCTTCTAGAGGATTCTTCCGTCTTTAATCTTTAGATCACCCAGACTGCCGCTTTTTGACTTTAAAGACAGTTGAACTAACCACCGCAGCCCCCCAGACGATTACTCCATATCGCATAATAGAATAAAAGTTTGCATAATATCATCATCATCATCATCAATTAGCCTTTATTTGTCCACTGTTGAACGTAGGCCTCCCGTAAAATTTTCCACCTATTTCTATTTTGAGCTTCTTGCATCCAGTTTGTGGTGATGCGCTTGATATCATGCGTCCATCTAGTCGGTGGTCGTCCTCTTCTTCGATATGCATCTTGCCTTGGTCGCCATTCCAGAATCTTTCTGGTTCATCTATCATCCGTTAATCTGGCAACATGTCCGGCCCAAGCCCATTTAGCCATGGCTATTTTTTCAACTGCATCTGTGACTCCTGTTCTTCTTCTTATTTCTAGGTTTGGTACTTTATCTCTGATGGTAATACCTAATATTGATCTTTCCATAGCGCGTTGTGTAACTCTTATTTTATCTATTGTTCTTTTTGTCAGAGTCAGTGTTTCTGCACCATATGTAAGAATCGGTAAAGCGCACTGGTTAAAAACCTTTCTTTTTAAACAAACTGGGATACTAGACTTGAAAATGTTATTCTAATCTACCAAAGGCAGCCCATGTGAGACCTATCCTTCTTTGTATTTCAGTTGTCTGATTATCTCGGCCTAAGCGAATCTCATGCCCTAGATATTTGTAAGCTATTACTTGGTCGATGCTATGGCTCTCAATCAGAATTTTACCGCTGACTACAATGTTGTTCATACATTTTTTCTGAGGTGTTAATTTTAAGACCAATAGTTTTTGACACTTATAGAGCGTGTGCAGCATTTTTGTAGCTTTATCAACTCTATCAGATATTAAAGAAAATTTTAGGTGGTTCATATCTTCCCCATTTATATTAATTCCCATATTATCCTCTCGTTCCATTTGCTTGAACATATATTCAAGAACAGCTGTAAACAATTTAGGGGAGATAGTATCACCCGTCAATTCCACGTTCTATTCGAAACTTCTTGGTATCTTCATGAAGGCGGACACAAGTTGTACCAGTTGCATATTGCATCATATACTGATAGTTAAATCTCCTGATCTAGATATATCCCTTCAATACCCTTAATGAGTAGCAGGCTCTATTCAGTCTCTATTTGTCGTATTTTATCATGTCGTATTATGTCAAGAAATTTAACTGATCTAACAGGGTACTGTGTTTTATGATAGAAAATGTGTATCTGGGAATTGTTCTAGTGACTGGCTGGTTTTAAAGTAAATAAAATCATGTCTTATCAGTATCAAGCACTCGCCTATTTCCACTGAACCAGTGTTCAGCCTTGCTTAGAGTTTGCTCTTCCACCGCGAGGAGTGTTTCTAATGTTTTTTTCCCAGAACAGCTCATACTATTATTCCATCGTTAATCTGTTTTGTTATCTTCCATATGTTGTCTAACTCTAGATTTCTTCTACTTTCTAGCTTTGATATTCTCCTCGCTCCTCTAAGGAAACGAGTTTTTTCCATATTTGTCTTAGTAAGTTACAAATTCTATCTATACAGTGCTTTTCAGATAAAACTATCCACCTTAAATAACTTTTGAACCTCTAATTTTTTGGAAAAACGCAAAAACACGTCAATTAATATCTGAAGGGGGAGACATAATATCATATTAAAGGTTGCTGGAAAATGCACCCTCTCACCCCCTGTATCAACCCTTTATTTTTTTTAAATTACTTCCCCCTTTTTTGTTTTTATATTTGGATTCTCCTTTTTGTTCTGATTTCAAAAATGTATAATACCTTTGGCTTGAAGTGATTAGTTTATCAGATAGACAATTTTCCTGTTAACAAGACAGTATCTCCCTCACCTTAATTGACTCTAACAAAATAGGTTGTAGCATAATTTAAACTCTTTAAATATTTAACCGTACTATTTGTAGTACCTTTAAAAACCAAGAAACAAAAAAATTCACTTTTTATTCAAGTTTTATCAAAGGTTTTCGATATCATTTTTACATTTGTTTTAATCGGTTAATAGCGACAATTTGTTATAACTTGTAAGTAACAGCTTATTTTGATACGTGTGCAATTTGATCGCTGAAATGGTGTACACTTTGCAAGAAAGAATCGAAATTGTAGGTTTATACTACAAAAATAATAATTGTGCAAGAGCTGCTGCTAGAATTTTTAATGAAACACACCACAATAGACATGCAACTCATAAGTGTGTGATTGAACTGATGCAGAAAAATTAGAGCAAGAGGGTCAGTTTGCAATAAAAAACATAACCGACAGGAACTTGTAAATAAAAAATATCTATTGCTTTTCGGTGAATGCTATTAAATTGCTCTGATAACTCATTCTCATTAAACGGTTTGGTGATCAGATATCATTGCCGATACTAGACTGAGAGTATCCACATATTGTACGCGAATTTCACATACATATCCTCAAGGTTAAACGTATGGTGTGGTATCCTACGTGATCACATTATCGGACATTTATTATCACTGATAACTTAAAGGTGCATCGTATCTTGAATTATTTAGGCAAGTGGTTGATCGTTAGAACATAGTAGATAAATGATGATAACCTTACCGATGATTCTGGTTGTATTCACATGATGGAGCTTTTCCACACTTTGCTTTACCTGTGCGATAATTTTTAAACGAAACGTTTCCCGGTCCTTGATAGGTAAAAGACGACAGATGATCGATTGGCCACCTAGGTCACCGGATTGAACACCCCTAGACTTCTTCTTATGGGAGTATTTAAAAACAAAAATTATGCTACTCAACCAGAATATCTAGATGATTTACAACAAAGAATAGAGGATGAATGTCGACAATTAAATGCAGACGTGTTAAGCAATGTCAGAGAAGAATTTCAAAATAGATTGTACTATTGTATGGAAGTGAAAGGCAGTCATTTTGAACAATTATTGTAAAAATTTTTAGTAGTGAAATGTTTGTTCTAAATGTGTGTAATAAAATTGTTAAAAAATAATTTTTTTTCAATCCAATTTTCTTGCTTTTGTATTTACTTTTCTCATAAACTAATCACTTCAAGTATCATGTATTATACATTTCTGAAATCAGTACAAAAAGGAGAATCCAAATATAAAATAAAAAAAGGGGGAAGTAATTTAAAAAAAAATAAAGGGTTGATACAGGGGTGAGAGGGTGCATTTTCCAGCAACCTTAAATATGATATTATGCCTCCCCCTTCAGATATTAATTGAAGTGTTTTTGCGTTTTTCCAAAAAATTAGAGGTTCAAAAGTTATTTAAGGTGGATAGTTTTATCTGAAAAGCACTGTATCATTTCACCACCAACTCCAACAATGGGCCTGTATATTGATAATTTTATTTCTAATTTGGTCAAATTTTTCTCGACCAAAGTCTTAGTCTTTGGATTACCGCTTTGTTCCTCGACATACTACACTCTTCAGACATTTACTTCACAAGACATAATGCTTCTATATATGTATATTCCTGACATGTTCTGATTTAATAGCCTTCTATTTTTATGTTAAGTGCTGATTCTCCAACGAACAGATATTCAGTTTTTTAAAAAATGATTTCAAACCAGTATTGAATATTCCTCCAGAATTTTCTGATCATAAATGAGATCTTTTCCTCATTGAGGGTCACAACTGACCACAATTTGATCATCTGTAGATAGTACTGATAACAGTTGCGGATAACAGCAACCCTGTCTCAATCCTTTATTTACTTTACAAAAATTTTGATATATTTGTGCCCACTTTTACCACTGCTAATAGATATTGGATAACAGATATATAATAAAAAAATTTAAACAGTTTCCACCCCACCCCAGAACTAGGTGGGATTCTCCTGTTTACTGCGAAACAGCAGAATGGATTGAAACCACTGCACTGCCGCCACCAGTTTTATAACATTTTGGTATAGCTATAGATCTGCCTACATTGTATTATAATGTAATTTTATACTGAGAAGCTTTTTCTTCTTCCTCTTTATTAGCAATTCTGCTTGATCATTGGCGGATTAATACTTCTATGGAAGGTTGTCACTCCATCTTTTGCGCGATCGTCCAATACTTCTTCTGCCGATTGGTGACATCTCTTGCTATTTGACGACACGGGTCTCCTCCATTCTGCTTACGTGGTTATATCATTCTTTTTTTCTATTTTGTGTCTATTTATTTATACACTGTACGTTACAACTCTAATAGTTTAATGATATCGCCAGAGGATCTACTGTAATAAGTTTCAAAGAATTTTGCCTCTGCTTTGGAAATACGATTATTAACTGACTTACCATAAGATTTACCATTAAGAGTTTATATCCCTAACAAAAACAATAACCAAAAGAATCGATTAAACAATAACCCTTACTAATAACTTACAATAACTCTTACCTAATTCCTCTGGAAGAAGAGATTCCTTTAGTTAACCTTCTTCTACTCCTCTCAACTTCGTCGTCTTGGTCGGGGAGTATAGTAATATCATTGGGATTACAGAACTTTCTTTTTCGTCTAATAATAGTATTGCTCGTGTCTGTAGTACGACTCATTTCAAGTATGGAATCTTGGAGCGTTGCGGAAGAGAGACTGCTTCCTTTACTTTTTTCTTTTCTCTCTACCGATATTTTGTCATCACTGGTTTTCTACAAATTAAATCAAATATAAATTTATGTAAAAAAAATAATCCTGAAAAATCCTTGTTTTAAGGATTGTATTTACTCTTTGACGAACTTCTCTCACAATATATCTCGAAACGAATAAAGAAAATTTCTGTAATAAATTAAACATTTTTATATAAATCACAACTAGGTATACAGATAGAACGAATTTAAAACGGAACATACAATTTAATATATGTCTGTTTGAACTGCATTTGAAATAGTGGACCAATATAAAACTTGGACAAAAATAAATCCATACCTGGGTATAGACATTGTATAAAATATCGTTCAACTATCTCTCTCGCAACAATGGTGTTTGTGTAACAATGTTGCTTGTCTCAGGAAGTTTTTAATAGTTCAGGAAATGAAGCTCGAAAAAAGTTAAAACCTCGCAATTTTTTCGTCCTGCATGAAATGAGTTGAAATTTTAACAGAAGGTAAGTGATAGCCGATAAGTGATAAGTCGGTCAGATAGCTCAGCGGGCTGTGCGGCTGCCTCTCATTCGCTTCACTGTCGAATGGTTTAGTGGATGTGGGGATCGAGCCCAAGCTCGGTGTACAGAAAACAAAAGTCTAACGCAGCAGTTTAAAAATTCTAGATGAATCTGCGGCTTAGACTAGGATATGCTGGGATCTGATCGGCCTATGGTGGAGCAGTACGGCAAGAGATAAGGGCTTGCGGCTCGGTGATACTCCTCCATAGATCTCCTACCGACAGCGTAACGCCTAAAAAACCGGATATATATATATATATATATATATATATATATATATATATATATATATATATATATATAAATATTATATATATATATATATATAATATATATATATATATATATATAACTATAAAAGTGATAGCCCAAGAATCAAAATCTTATCGAACCGAAGTGCGCTGGATGGTTTTAGGAGTGAAAACTACCCCTAATTATATATATATATATTATATATATATATATATATATATATATATATATATATCATATATATTATATATATATATATATAAGTGATAGCCCAAGAATCAAAATCTATATCGAACCGAAGTGCGCTGGATGGTTTTAGGAGTGAAAACTACCCCTAATTGTCAAAAATTATAAAATAACATATTAAACCTGAATATGGGTTTGAATTAGTTAAATAATGATTATTTTATACTTTTGAATAACGTTTCATCATATTTCAACCCTTAAAAAGTAACCCTTGTTAGAGATTAATGTAAAAAATTACTAATTCTAAAAAAATGATTTCGCCTTGATCGATTTGAATAAAAATTTGGATTTAAGCTCAATTCACCCGCTGCTTTATAGTTTATGTCATGTAGACGAACCCTGATTGTTCTTAGGGGTGGAAACTAGCCCTAATTGTCAAAAATTATAAAATAACATACTAAACCTGAATATGGGTAAAAATTTGGTTTGAATTAATTAAATAATGATAGTTTCGTGCTTTTGAATAAAGTTCCATCATATTTCAACCCTTAAAAGCGACCCTTGTTAGAGATTAATGTAAAAAAATTAGTAATGCGAAGAAAATGATTTCGCCTTGGAACGATTTGCATAACAAATTGGAATTAAGCTTAACTCACCCTCTGCTTTATAGTTTATGTCATGCCGATGAACCCTGATTGTTCTTAGGGTGAAAACTACCCCTAATTTTCAAAAATTGTAAAATAACATTACAAATCTTAAGATGAGTGAAATTTGGTTTGATTGTTATGATTTTTACTTAAATACTTTCATACATTTTCAACCCTTAAAAATCAATTGTTATGAGTGCTATAGGTAAAAACAATTTTTTGCCAAAATTTTGCGAACTTTTCAACTTTTGAATATCACCCTTTACAACATTGCAGTTGTAAAGGGTGCAGTTTATAAATAATTTAATATAAGATATAAATTGAAAAAAGTAGAATTAAATACAAAAAAAATTATCAACATAAAAAGGCACCATATATTCTTATACATTTACATAAATAGTTGAAAATATTTACATTTATAGGTAAAACAATTATAATATTAATTTTATTCGTCATCAATTACATCTTCATCGTGATCTATGTCATCCTCATCTTCTTCAATTATTGGTGGACTATTATTGCACCCTTCACCTGAGCACCCAGAACAAGTAAAGTTACAGTATAAACCAACTTTTCTGCACCCACATGAAACGCCGCATCCTTTTTTGCATTGGCAAAAAATAATTTTCAAAAGTTCATCGGGTGCAGGTTGTTTGTTCATGCGTACGGGTAATAACAAACCATCTTTGGAATACCATCCCCAGTCTGTTGCTCTGATATTTTCATTGCCAAGCCATAAACATATGAGCAAATGTTTTATTCTGTTGTATGGGATTTCAAAATAAGAACGCTTAAAATTTCGAATGTATAACGCCCCACTACCTAATATACCGGTTTTGTAGATTATTATGCTCCAAAATGTACTGTACTATACTAATGGAATTTTCCGAAAAAAAAATTAATTGGTTTTTTAACGTATTTCCTTCATTTTTAACGATAGAGTGTTTCCTCAAAAACGATTTTGTAGAGGTTTTTAAGAGCTACAAGGATCTGTGAATTAAATCTCTTTGGAACCCTTGGTTTTTAAATGGGGTGAGTTTTAAAGGGCTCGAAAAAGATGGTGCTTGATCGTAAATCGATGCTTTAAACGGCTATATCTCGCCAAATATTCATTGTACAACAAATCTAAATAAAGGAAAATTTTAGTCATTAAAAAGCTACAATTTAGTACATTTTTATTTCTTTCATATATTCAGTATTTTCGGGGATATTTAAAAAAGAAGGGTAAAAAATATGAAATTGTAAATCGTTTCTCGCTTTAAGCTGTACTTTTTCTAAAACTAAGCATTTTAAATGGGTCAAACTTCTTGAACGTATTAACAATACATGTACAAAGAGAATTGCAGAAGGGTGAAGATCGATTTTAATTATGGGAGTGGTTAGGGGTTGTTTTCATCGATTTTTTCGTAAAAAAATGAGGTATTGGCCTTATTTTCATCATAACTCACTCAATTTTTGAGCTAGAGTCTTTTTTTATGATAGATCTATTTATGCTCTTTAAAAAAGGTTGCGTGAGTTTTTCTTCCAAAAATGCATCATTTTCCCGATATTTGACTTTGAATCTTTCAAATTTGGCATTTGAAGAAAACCGCTGAACATTGATAGGCCGTATTTTCGGTTCCTATTATATCGCAAAAACATTTTAAAAAATGAATTGTATTTGTCTTTTTAAAAGCTACAAATTTGTTCTCTACAATTTTTTGATAAAATGCACCATTTTCGAGTTATTCGCGAAAAATCGATTAAAAACGTCGATTTTTTTCGTCTAAAAGTTGTTACTTTCAATCGCGAATAACTTGAAAAATATCAGTTTTACAAAAAAAAATGTATAGAACATTTTTTGTTTATAATCACTTTTTTAATCGAAACCTGTAGTTAAAACGTAAAAAAAATTTCACCCCCGGATGGGTGGCAACCACCCCCAAGGCTTTGGCGCACTTTGGTTCGATATAGATTTTGATCCTTAGGCTATTACCTACCTTCTGTTAAAATTTCAAGTTAATCCACGCAGGACGAAAAAATTACGAGGTGAAATGCTTCATTTCCTGGACTATAAGTGGTTTGACAGCATAATAAAATCGTAGATTTATGTGTAGCTTTCAATTTTTATGAGTTCAGAATCCAGCAGCCCGCAGAAGTATTGGTTTTTATAATATAATTATTTGACAACCTTTGTTGGCCAACCTCCTACAGCAGAAATGAGCCGAAATACATGTGTTTCCTATGTTCCGAATTTATTTCGTTCAATCTGTAGAGAATACGTCAGGAATAATAGGAAATTGTAACAATATGTTCAGAAGTCAAAAATATTAATAAGCAAGATCTAAACAAGATCACAGAAGAATTCTCTCAGCGAACTAAAACAATTAGATACAACATCAGCTTAGAGAATATACGAGAAATAACAGACTTTGAAATAAAAGTGGCCTTATACTTCTTCTTCTTTTTATATCGACATGACTCTGTCTGTTTTTCAATGAGCCTCCAGTAAGTTGTAGTTCCATCGTTTTCGTGGTCTTCCTATTGGGGAACCGTATCTTGCCATCTTTACTACTCTATTTGTTGTCATTCGGCTTATATGATCGTTCCATTATACTTTTCTACTTTTTACCCAGTTCTTGATGTTCTCCACCTTGCATCTACGTCGTATATCTGTACTTCTAGCTCTGTCCCATAGTGTCTTACCATCAATTTTTCATATCTGCTGTTTCTAACATCCTTTTTGTCCTCTTTGTGTCAGGACTTGTTTCTGCCGCGTATATCATTATTGGTCTAATGACTGTTTTGTAAATTCTGCCTTTCGTTTTTTTTCCGATATTTTTATTTCTCCAAATTGTTTCATTCAGGCAGCCTGCGGCACTGTTTGTTCTATTCACTTGATCTTGCACTTCAGTTTCGAGCTTTCCGTAGCTATTTTAGATAATGTGATGCCTAGATATTTAAACTCCATCACTTGCTCTACTATCTAACCTTCCAGCTTCAATTTATATCTTAGTAAATTTGCTGTTATAACTATGCATTTTGTCTTTTTTGATTTAATTACCATGTTAAATTTTCTGGAGGTTATATTAAATTGGTGCAGCACACGTTGTAAATCATCTTCACTTTGAGAGTAGTATTGCGTCATCTGCATAGCAGATTATTTTAAGTTGTTTTTCTTCATCCTCATAATTAGGTTGAACAATAGAGGACTCAGTGAATCTCCCTGTCTTATCCCATTGACAGCTTAAATAGGGTCGGTTAGTTCTTCTTCTACTTTTACTGTGTTGTTTTGGTAGATATTTTCGATCGTTTTGATTATTCCTATAGGTATCTCTCTCTACTGAAAACCTTGTTGTTCTTCTGCTAGTATTATAACTTCATTAAGTTTATTTATTATCATTTTCTTATCATTCTGATGTTAATTTTAGTGTTTAATAAATTAATTCCTCTGTAATTTTCCGGGTCCGATTTGTTTACCTTTTTGAAGAGAGGTATTAGCAGGCTTGATCTCCATTCTTGAGGAATTCTGTTTTGTACTATTATTTTTTGGATTAGTTTTAATAGTTTTTAAAGCCTATTGACATAGAGTATTAGTAATAAATATGTGTTACAGATAATAACTTAAGCATAACTTTTGAAACTATGTGTATATATGTATATAGAAAAAGACAAAAATAAAGTGCTATTATATGTTATGAGATACCTTTTTCTGGACTGTGGTACTTCCCGCATCCACGAATTGAAACATCTTTTCCAAAGATCTTTCAACATCATCTATATCGTAGCCCTCTTCATTTTCTGAATTTTGTTGATTTTGAACGATCTCTTGATTTTCCGATAAATTGATCGTTGAATCGATTGAGCTAGTTTCACTAAAAATAAATATTAACATAAATGATACTTTAACCATACGAAAAACATATGGTGTTTCACCATACGTTGAACAATTAAGGTTTCATTTTAGTAGTAAGATTTATCACGACTCGGATTTTCGAATCTTTTAGAAGAGCCCAGAAAAATAGAAAATATGACAAAAAAATAAATGAAAAAATAAAACTCGGTACATAGAAGGAAACCATACACCGAACGTTCAATATTTTAATCATAACGTCTCTGTGATGGAGCACACAGTGGAACAGCGATCTGATAACCAGTTAATTTAAGGACTGAAAGGATCAGTAAAAAAAGGGAAAATGGAAATCAAAAAGAGAAACAAATGCTTAAAATTTTACAAGCTGGCTACACACTTGGTTGCGTAGATAAAGTTTTATTTTTTGTAGCTAAAAATATAAATTTTATAATGTTTTGTATTTTGAGAACGATTTCCGAAGTGGAAATAAAAACGTCAAATAAACTTAATTTAAAGTAAAATTGTGCTTCTTCCTAGCAAAAATAGTAAATTGTATATTAATAGCTTCAGAACGATATTAACACATTCACGACCAACCGTCACACATGTGAAGTTTTCGTAAGAACTGCTGACACACATGTGTGACACCGAACTTGTAAAATAATTTTACCACAGTTTATAACTGTTGGTCTGTCAAAACGACATCTAAGTACACGAGATCTTCAATTAGAGGCCGAGATGGCTAATAGGGAAGTTAGTGAGTACAGAGATACCGAAAATATTGAATATGCATTCGAGGAGGACCATAAGGATGAAATATTTTATTCTAGTGGAAGTGAATATTCTCCTCTAATTCTGGAAGAGAGACTGAGGACACTAGCAACGATGGATATGAGTCGAACAATGATGGTGGTGAGTCAAGTAAGATGAGGGCGAAGCGATGCAAATAAACATGTGTTACAAGAAAATGATGAGGCGGACTGACTAGATGTAGAGGAAGATATTGAGGTACATCAGTTTACTGAACAATAAAATATAAATGTTTAATATTTTTCATTACTATTTGATAAAGAACTTTTAATAAAAATGTTTGTATTTTGAGAACGATTTCCGAAGTGGAAAATAAAACGTCAAATAAACTTAATTTAAAGTAAAATTGTGGCTTCTTCCTAGCAAAAATAGTAAATTGTATATTAATAGCTTCAGAACGATATTAACACATTCACGACCAACCGTCACACATGTGAAGTTTTCGTAAGAACTGCTGACACACATGTGTGACACCGAACTTGTAAAATAATTTTACCACAGTTTATAACTGTTGGTCTGTCAAAACGACATCTAAGTACACGAGATCTTCAATTAGAGGCCGAGATGGCTAATAGGGAAGTTAGTGAGTACAGAGATACCGAAAATATTGAATATGCAATCGAGGAGGACCATAATGATGAAATATTTTATTCTAGCGAAGTGAATATTCTCCCTCTAATTCTGGAAGAGAGACTGAGGACACTAGCAACGATGGATATGAGTCGAACAATGATGGTGGTGAGTCAAGTAAGATGAGGGCGAAGCGATGCAAATAAACATGTGTTACAAGAAAATGATGAGGCGGACTGACTAGATGTAGAGGAAGATATTGAGGTACATCAGTTTACTGAACAATAAAATATAAATGTTTAATATTTTTCATTACTATTTGATAAAGAATTTTTATAAAAATCGTAGAGTGGACAAACCATACAGGTGCTTCATGTAAAGAAAACTCTAATAAAAAAAATATTCCTTTTTAAGACGCTTGATAGATATAAATATTGATGACTTCAAAATATTTTTGGGTCTCTGCATATTAATGGAATGTAAGGGATAGTGATACGCAATACATAGCTTCTCCTATTCAAATGTCAACCTCACCTGCCCGTGAGATGCTCTAGATCATGATCATCCGGTACATTCCGGCAATCCCCACTTTACTGACCAACAGCTTCGGGCGGAAGAGTCGGTAAGTGGAAGGGTTCTTGTCCTAGAAATGGAAAATCATTTCTAAAGCCGGATGCACCAGATATGGTCAAAGGCAACCGGAAACCAATGCATTAAAGGCTCATAAGCATCCCTAGTTAACCATCATACAACCAAACACTCTATTGATCATGAAACTAGGAAAACAAGATCCGGTAGAGAAGGAAATTTACAAGACTGTAAGGCCTCCCCGGTCGTCAACATGCGAAATCATTGCAAAGTAGCGACTTGGAATGTTAGAAGTCTACATCAAGCTGGAAAAGTACATAATGCCGTTAAAGAAATGGAAAGGCTGAATATAGATATTTTAGGAATCAGCGATGTCCAATCGCCCGACTCAGGAAAGATAAAAATCAACAATAAAACAATATATTATTCAGGAAGTCATAACGGTTCACGCAGATATGGTGTCGGGATAATATTAAACAAATACATTGATGAAGCTGTAATAAATTTCACTCCATACTCCAACAGAATTATACTGTTACAATTAAACCAAAACAAACCCAAAATAAACATCCTACAAGTTTATGATCTAACTGCAGACAAACCATGGAGCGATATTGAAACTTTCTACGAAGACCTAGACAACATTTTAAAATCCATTAAAACGCAAGATGTAACAATTATAATGGGAGACTTTAACGCAAAGGTTGGGGAAGAAAAATAGAAGAATGTACTGGAGGATATGGTCTGGGCAACAGAAACGAAAGGGGTGACAGGCTTATCGAATTTTGCCAAAACAATAATTTTGTTATAGCTAATACATTGTTCAAAATGCCAAAGAGAAGACTATATACCTGGAAGTCACCAGTAGATCAAGAAGAGAGAATTGTAAGAAACCAAATAGACTATGTATTAGTTAGACAAAGATACAGGAACGCAATTATATCCGCAAAAACCTATCCAAGTGCCGACATAGGATCAGATCACAACCCAGTAGTGACCAAAATTAGGCTCAAAATGAAAATAATAAAACGAAGAACAACAAATGCAAAAATCGATACAAGTAAATTAAGGAACCCACTCATAAGGCAACGCCTGGCAGATGAAATCAACAACGGATTAATGAATGTTAAAGAACAAATTCTGCAAAATACTGAGACGGATAAAAAATGGTTATTAATAAAGACAGAAATAGATAAAAGTCAAAAAGAAATTCTAATACCAACCAGATATAAAAAGAAGCAATGGATGACGGAAGAAATTTTAGATTTAATGGAAGAAAGACGTCAATATAAAAACAAAGATAATCAGATGTACAAAAAAGTGGATAAACAAATAAAATACAGAATTAAGAAAGCGAAAGAACAATGGTTAAAAGAACAATGCGCAGAAATAGAAGAATACCAGAAAAGACATGATAGTTTTAACACACATAAAAAAATTAAAGAATTAACTCACAACAATAGAACAAGAAAACCGGGAATACTGAAAGATGCAAATGGGAAACTTGTGTTGAATACTAACGACAAATTAAAGAGATGGACAGAATACATCAATGAACTGTTCAAAGACAATAGAACAGAGCAGATGGAGATAGAAGTAGAAGAGGATATGGTTTTAAAGATATTAAAAGAGGAAATTAAAATGGCATTAAAAAACAGCAAAAATGGTAAAGCAGTAGGTCCAGACCAAATCCCTATAGAAATCTTAAAATGCATAAATGATGAAACCTTAGACATTATAGTAGACTTATTTAACTCAGTATACAAAACAGGACACATACCGAAACAATGGTTACTCTCCACCTTTTGTGCTATCCCTAAAAATACAAACGCTAAATATTGCAGTGAATACAGAACAATATCACTAATAAGTCACATTCTCAAATTATTCTTGAAAATAATACATGGTCGTATAAATAAAAAACTGGAAGAAGGAATAGATGATAGTCAGTTTGGGTTCAGAAACGGACTAGGAACAAGAGAAGCGTTATTTGCTTTTAATGTGTTAGCTCAAAGATGCATGGATATGAATGTTGATGTGCATGTTTGTTACGTTGATTTTGAAAAAGCATTTGACAAAGTAAGACATGAAAAATTAGTCCAAATTCTAAAGACAAAAAACATAGACCATAGGGACTTACGAATAATAACAAACCTCTACTGGAATCAAAGAGCACAAATCGTAATAGATAACGAACCGAGTCCAGAAATTGAAATCAGGAGAGGAGTTAGGCAGGGATGTATTATGTCCCCATTACTATTTAATGTATATAGTGAAGCCATTTTTGAAGAAGCATTACTATCTCAAAGTGAAGGAATAATAATTAACGGAAGATCTATTAACAACATAAGATATGCAGATGACACCGTGATTATGGCAAGCTCTGCTGAACAACTTCAATTACTGCTAAACAAAACAAACAGTTTCTGTGAAAAATATGGACTAAAAATGAATATAAAAAAGACCAAATACATGATAATAACAAAGAAAATAAATATACCAACAAACATATATTTGGGAAATGTACCGATAGAAAGGGTTGATAAATACAAATACCTAGGAACCTGGATTCCAGACATTAGATGATTCTTGCAATTCTTAGAGGGTACAGATTAAAGCAGTAATCTGAATTTGGTTTCGAAAAAGTAGTTTACGGATTTAGTATAGGGAATACTAATACAAACCGACAGTGAAAAACGTATTCTACTAAAATATTAAACACATACAGGGTGTTTCATTTGAAAAAAAAGGAATTAGGTCAAAATTTAGGATGCCCGTTTTATGCCAATTTGAACGACACCCTGTATGTATAAACACAAAACAATTTTACACTGTAAACGATGAAGTAAACAGGAAGTATTAATAAAAATGTTCATAATAACGTGAACATTTCTAAAATTAAAACATATATAGAGTGTCCTATTAAAAAAAAAACGAATTTATACACCGGAAGGTATAACCACCGGTATAACCGGAAGTTGTTTATAGATGAAAATATTTTCATTAAATAGTTCACTTTTTAAAACCTCTTTATTCCAATTTTCATGATTCAGTTACCTTTAGTTCTCGAGATATTTCTAATTGGCCGTTTATCTGCCGCACCCTGTACATATAAGATGCTAAATATAGATAAAAATGCGCAAACGTTCAGTCTAGACAAAGCAACAGCAAGAAAAAGAAGACATTAAACTAACATAACTACATAACCTAAATGTGAATAATTTTTTACCTGATATATTTAGGGTACTTTTCATTTTGTACGAATGTTTGTACAAAAGTTAACTCTTTAGCTGTTTCTTTCTGGTATATACTGAAATCAAATTTCTCCAATCGTACCACCAGTTGAGGAAGTGGTTTTCTTATATTAACATTAGATATTTTTTGCACCAATTTGAAATCATTTTCAGTGTATTTTCGTGTTTCTCTTTCGCTATCTAATTTTTGTTCATGCTGTAGATTATCTAGAATTTCTATTATTGCTTCTTGTCTAGTGCTAGTCGGTTTTATTTTTCTTGAAACAACAGCAGACACTTTTTTGGTCATTTTAGGCTTATGTGCAATAGACTGCTGTTCCTCTTTGTCATTATACATATCTTCTCCGTAATCTAAATCATCTTGATGACTTGACATACTTTTTTGACGTAAGTCTTTTTGTTGTTGTTTTTCATTATCAAGTTCTTGCTCATCTTCTAAATCATCTTGAATTGGTATTATCGCTTCCTCTTCTATATCAGATGTACTACTTTTTCTTGAAATATCATCTCTTTGAACCATTTCAAGTGTATGTCTAGTGTGTTTTCGTATTTCTTTTTCAATATCTAACTTTTGTTCGTGTAGTAGATCATCTTCAATTTCCTTTAATGCTTCTTGTCTCTTATTACTTAGTTTTATTTTTCTAGAAATATCTGCAGTCATTTTTTTAGTAATCTCAGTCTTATGTACACTAGACTTCTGTTCCTCTTTCTCTCTATCCAAATCTTTTCCGTAGTCTAGATCACCTTGATGGCTTGACATGATTTTTCTCTCTTTTATATGACTTAGTTCTATTTGTCCTGCAAATACAGTCTCATGAAGCCGTTCAGCAGCAACTACGGAGTCTTTTTGTTCCTGTTTTTTCTTATAAAGTTCTTGCTTGTGCTGTAAATCATCTTGAATTGATATTATTGTTTCCTCTTCTATACCACTTGTTCTTATTTTTTTTGAAATATCAGTAGATGCTTTTTGAACCATTTCCGGTGTATGTAAATTGTGTTTTCGTTTTTCTTTTTGTTGTGAGTCTTTTTGCTTTTGTTTTTTCTGATAAAGTTCTCGCTCGTGTTCTAAATCATCTTGAATTGGCCTTATTGCTTTCTCATCTATATTACTTTTTCTTATTTTTCTTGAAATATCACCAAATACTTTTTTAAGAACTTCCATTTTATGTTGTGTGTGTTTTCGTCTTTCTTTTTTTTGCGAGTCTCTTTGTTCTTGTTTTTTCGTAGCAAGTTCTTGCTTGTGTTCTAAATCATCTTGAATTAATATTATTGCTTCCTCTTCTATATCACTTGTTTTTATTTTTCTTGAAACATCAGTAGATGCTTTTTGAACCATTTCCGTGTATGTACAGTGTGTTTTCGTATCTCTTTTTGTTGTGAGTCTTTTTTCTTTTGTTTTTTCTGACAAAGTTCTCGTTCGTATCCTAAATCATCTTGAATTGACCTCATTGCTTTCTCTTCTATATCACTTTTTCTTATTTTGCTTGAAATATCACTAGATACTTTTTGAACCACTTCCAGTTTATGTTGAGTGTGATTTCGTCTTTCTTTTTTTCGTGAGTCTCCTTGGTCTTGTTTTTCTTCAGCAAGTTTTTGCCTCTGTTCTAAATCATCTTGAATTGATATTATTTCTTCCCTTCTATATCACTTTTTCTTATTTTTCTTGAAATATCAGTAGATACTTTTTGAACCACTTCCAATTTATGTTCAGTGTGTTTTCGTCTTTCTTTTTTTCGTGAGTCTCTATGTTCTTGTGTTTCCCTAGCACGTTCTTGCTTGTTTTCTAAATCATCTTGAATTGATGTTATTGCTTTCTCTTCTATATCACTTTTTATTATTATTTTTAAGTCTTTTTCCTTTTGTTTTTTCTGACTAGATTCTTGCTCGTATTCTAAATCATCTTGAATTGATCTTATTGATTTCTCTTCTGTATCACTTTTTCTTGAAATAGCAGTAGATACTTTTTTAGTAATTTCCGGTGTATGTTCAGTGTGTTTTGCTATTTTTACTTTTCGTGAGTCTTTTTCCTTTTGTTCTCTCTGACTAACTTCTTGATCGTCATCTAAATCGTCTTGAATTGATCTTATTGCTTTCTCTTCTGTATCACTTTTTCTTGAAATAGCAGTAGATACTTTTTTAGTCATTTCCGGTGTATGTTCAGTGTGTTTGCGTATTTCATTTTTTCGTGAGTCTTTTTCCTTTTGTTTTTTTCTGACTAAATTCTTGATCGCGTTCTAAATCTTCTTGAATTGATCTTATTGCTTTCTTTTCTATATCACTTTTCCTTAAAATAGCAGTACATACTTTTTTAGTCATTTCCGGTGTATGTTCAGTGTGTTTTCGTATTTCATTTTTTCGTGAGTCTTTTTCCTTTTGTTTTTTCTGACTAAATTCTTGATCGCGTTCTAAATCTTCTTGAATTGATCTTATTGCTTTCTCTTCTATATCACTTTTTCTTAAAATAGCAGTAGATACTTTTTTAGTCATTTCCGGTGTATGTTCAGTGTGTTTTCGTATTTCATTTTTTCGTGAGTCTTTTTCCTTTTGTTTTTTCTGACTAAATTCTTGATCGCGTTCTAAATCTTCTTGAATTGATCTTATTGCTTTCTCTTCTATATCACTTTTTCTTGAAATAGCAGTAGATACTTTTTTAGTCATTTCCGGTGTATGTTCAGTGTGTTTTCGTATTTCATTTTTTCGTGAGTCTTTTTCCTTTTGTTTTTTCTGACTAAATTCTTGATCGCGTTCTAAATCTTCTTGAATTGATCTTACTGCTTTCTCTTCTATATCACTTTTTCTTAAAATAGCAGTAGATACTTTTTTAGTAATTTCCGGTGTATGTTCAGTGTGTTTTCGTATTTCATTTTTTCGTGAGTCTTTTTCCTTTTGTTTTTTCTGACTAAATTCTTGATCGTGTTCTAAATCTTCTTGAATTGATCTTATTGCTTTCTCTTCTATATCACTTTTTCTTGAAATAGCAGTAGATACTTTTTTAGTCATTTCCGGTGTATTGTTCAGTGTGTTTTCGTATTTCATTTTTTCGTGAGTCTTTTTCCTTTTGTTTTTTCTTGACTAAATTCTTGATCGCGTTCTAAATCTTCTTGAATTGATCTTATTGTTTTCTCTTCTATATCACTTTTTCTTAAAATAGCAGTAGATACTTTTTTAGTCATTTCCGGTGTATGTTCAGTGTGTTTTTCGTATTTCATTTTTTCGTGAGTCTTTTTCTTTTGTTTTATCTGACTAAATTCTTGATCGCGTTCTAAATCTTCTTGAATTGATCTTATTGCTTTCTCTTCTATATCACTTTTTCTTAAAATAGCGATAGATACTTTTTTAGTAATTTCCGGTGTATGATCAGTGTGTTTTGCTATTTTTATTTTCGTGAGTCTTTTTCCTTTTGTTTTCTGTGACTAAATTCTTGATCGTGATCTAAATCGTCTTGAATTGATCTTATTGCTTTCTCTTCTGTATCACTTTTTCTTAAAATAGCAGTAGATACTTTTTTAGTCATTTCCGGTGCATGTTCAGTGTGTTTTCGTATCTCATTTTTTCGTGTGTCTTTTCGTTTTTGTTTTATCTGAAAAAGTTCTTGATCGTGTTCCAAATCGTCTTGAATTGATCTTAGTGCTTCGTTTTCTATATCACTTTTTCTTATTTTTCTTGAAATAGCAGTAGATACTTTTTTAGTAATTTCTGGTGTATGTTTAGTGTGCTTTGCTATTTCTACTTTTTGCTTTTGTTTTTCCTGATTAAGTTCTTGCTCGTATTCTAAATCATCTTGAATTGATCTTATTGCTTTCTCTTCTGTATCACTTTTTCTTGAAATAGCAGTAGATACTTTTTAGTAATTTCCGGTGTATGTTCAGTGTGTTTTCGTATCTCATTTTTTCGTGAATCTTTTTGTTTTTGTTTTTTCTGATAAAGTTCTTGATCGTGTTCTAAATCATCTTGAATTGATCTTAATTGCTTCTCTTCTATATCACTTTTTCCTATTTTCTTGAAATATTAGTTGATACTTTTTTAGTCATTTCTGGTGTAGATTCAGTGTGTTTTCGTATTTCATTTTTTCGTGAGTCTTTTTGTTTTTGTTTCTTCTGCTTATGGTCTTGCTCGTATTCTAAATCATCTTGAATTGATCTTATTGCTTTCTCTTCTATATCACTTTTTCTTGAAATAGCAGTAGATACTTTTTTAGTAATTTCCGGTGTATGTTCAGTGTGTTTTCGTATCTCATTTTTTCGTGAGTCTTTTTGTTTTTGTTCTTTCTGGTAAAGTTCTTTATCGTGTTCTAAATCGCCTTGAATTGATCTTATTGCCTCCTCTTCTACATGAGTTATTCTTATTTTTCTGAAAATATCAGTAGATACTTTTTGAACCATTTTCGATGTATGTCCAGAGTGTTTTCGTATTTTGTTTTCTTCATCTAACTTTTGTTCGTGCTGTAGATCATCTTCAATTTCTATTAGTGCTTCTTGTCGTTCAATACTTAGTTTTGTTTTTCTTGGAATAGCAGTAGACACTTTAGTAATTTCAACCTTATGTATGCTAGACTTCCGTTCTTTTTCTTTATCCAAATCGTTTCCATAGTCTAGATCATCTTGATGACTTGACAAGATTGCTCTCGGTTTTATTTGTCCTAAAAAAACAGTCTCCTTAAGCAGTTCAGTAGCATTTACGGAGTCTTTTTGTTTTTCCATATCAAGTTCTTGTTCGTGTTCTAAATCATCTTGAATTGATACTGCTTCCTCTTCTATATCAGTTGGTCTTATATTTCTTGTATCAGTAGATACCTTTTCAACTGTTGCAGAAACATTTATAGGGTATTTTTCTCCTTTGTCGCTATCCAATTTTTGCTCGTGGTCTAGACCATCTTGAATTGATAATACCGCGTTTTGTATGCAGCTACCTCGTTGTTTTTTCCTGCAATAGCAGTAGATACTTTTCTAAAAATTTTAGATGCATTTTCGCTAGTGAATGTCTGTTTTTCTTTTGCGTTATCTCGCTCTGAATTATTTGTCGTTAATACGATTGCTAACTGTCTGCTTTTACTTGGTTTTGTTTTTACTGACAAAGCTGTGGACACCTTTTTAACCATATTAATATTGTTTTCGTTGACTTTCATTTTTCTTTGCTTCTTGCCAATTTCTTTTTCGTGCCCTATATTACTTTTATTTGTTCTGGAAGTTTTGTCTTTTGCATAAGTTGGCTTTATTTTTTGCAAAACAGTGGTAGATACTTTTGGGACTATCGTTTTGTTTTCTTTATTAAACTCTGAAAGGCTTTTTTGTGTAGCGTTTCCTACTGACGTTTTTGTCGGTTTTTCTTTTGCATTTTTTTCTTGTAAGGCCGAAGCAGTTCGTTAGCTGTCGTGTCTTTTTCGTTGCCAAATTTGTTTACTGTCTCTAATATATTATCTGTAGTAAAACGTTGTGGTTGCTTTGATTTTTCTAATTTTTTTATTTCATGTAGAGCAGTGGACACTTTCGTTTTTGACGCATTTTCTTCCGCATTTAATATTAACTGTTTCTTGGCGATAGTTAGGTACAATCTCAGCAGCTTGAATGTCTTCAGTATCAAATAAGAAATAATTTTCATTAGATGTTGATTTATTTGCTGTAACTAAGTTTGTTTTGCAAGTTGATACTTTTGGTAAAATAGTGTTTGGGGGCGGCAAAAAATAATTTGAATCAAATTGCATTTCTTCAGATTCGCTCATAATATCTATATCTCGAAGTAGATTCTCAGTTTCGTTTCTTCTTTCTTCTAGAGACCTAAAACAATGATGCCGGTTAAAAAATGAACCACAAGGGTATTTGTGTGAGAGTTATAGGTTAATTTTAGTGGAGAAGAAAACAAAAGGTTATTGCTACTTCATCTTTTTAATGGAATTTTCATAAAA